TTTAAAGGAATTAAAGAACATCCCAGTGAAAAGATCAGAACACATATAACCACAATACTTAGCCCGATATTAGGACCGGAAGTTGATATTTTACGAGTTAGTCGCCAGGGGAAGTTATCAGATCCGTCCTGTACCCGACCTGTTGTTGTACGATTTAAGAAATACAGTGATAAACTGAACGTGATTTACCAGTCAGACACTTTACTACGGAACCAAAATATAACAATAGATCAACCAAAAATTGCATACGAAATCCCTGACCTAGAATATGTACTTTTGAATTTCTGCAAAATTTTGCTAAATGTCCCGAAAGGGTCTGTAAATGCCGCTGTGAGGGGCGAATTAGGAGTTTTTCCTTTATTCGTGGACAGCCAAACACAAATGATTAAATACTGGATTAGAATAAATAATTTACCAAACGATAGACTTGTCAAAAAAGCATACGACACTTCAGTCTAAGAAGAACATGACTGGGCTACTCACGTTCAGGATATATTATGTAGACATGGGTTCCAAAATGTTTGGCTTAACCCCGCAGTTAATGCCAACCATTTTGGAAACATATTTAAACAGCGTCTCAAGGACACGTTTCTTTCTGGCTGGAGAGAACAACTGAGAAATACTAGCAAACTCCAAACATATTCTAAAATAAAGAAACACTTCGGCATGGAAGATTATCTTACATCAATACAAAACAAATCGTTTACAATTAGCATAACAAAACTGAGAATAAGTGCACATTGTCTTCAAATTGAAAAGGGAAGACACCAAAACACACCAGCCACTCAGAGACTGTGTCCCACATGTAATCTAAATGTTGAAAATGAATTTCATTTTGTTATGACTTGTCCTACCTATAGTAAAGAAAGAGATGTGCTATTACAGAATATAACTACTAAGACGGACCTCATACTACCTGATACACAGCTCAATATGTTCCATGTATTGTTATCATGCCCAACCTCTATTTCTGTTTACATAGGTCAATTTCTCCATAGCTCATTACATATGCGAGATCAAATAATTAATACATAATTATATATCAACACACTATGTTACCTACCTGTTATTGGACATGTTTTTGATGTATTTCTCTAGACTAGTTTAGTGTTGTAGTACTGCCATACATTGTACCTTGTACGATTGTTGTGCAATAAAGTTCATTCATTCATTCATTCACTAACTTGGCATGGTGCTAACAATGCATGATGTGAGCCCTATTGCAATAATTGTAAAGTCCTTGTGATGCTATGTAAAGTTACTGATAAGTTTCCTGCCTCAGCTAAGGGACACAAGTCAAATCTCTAGCTATATAAGCACGGCTCTTATATTATAGTAACTGTTATAACTATGAACTTCAAGACTTTTATACTCAGTACATGCCCACCAAAAGTTAAATCATTGTGATCTGTACTTTGGAGGTGACACCCTTTTGAAAATCAATAATGTTAGGTGAAACAGTCTCAAAGTCTGATCTACTCTCTTCTTTCTAGTTAAGATACAAATTAAAGGGATCGTCAAACATTTTGACAATCCTGTCTTTGTAGACTTCCTGGCACAAGAAACACAAGAATGACCTACACCATTCTGATGACAATTCTAGCATCATGTTTTTCTCACATCTACCATTTACCTCTAGCTACTAATTTTCAAAAGGCTGTCACCTGCAAAATAACAACCACAGTGACTATGATTTGAGATTCGGTGGACATTTATAAAAGGCTTCATACTTTGTAATTATGCCCCAAAATTGGAGCTTTGCTTCTTGTTTCTGGGTGAGTTCCCTTTGTACATGGGTTTATCAATGAGATTTAGGGTGAGGATTGCATTATTCATTCAAAAAATTGACTGTTCAGGGCTTGAACTATCGCAGAGCGGAATTCGCTGTGACCTTGTACAGTAGGGGCAATGTCAAATAGCTTTAAACAATGTCTATAAAAAAGACATTCAAGCAGTGGTCGAAATACTTTTTTTCAGTGCTCTGCAATATTGCAGTCCAAGACTCAAAATTTTGTTCTGCAATTTGGAAATACTGTCTGCAAATACACAAGACTCTATACTACAATGTTGCAAGTTTATAAGCATGAACTATTGATTGATATGCAAATTAGTGAAGACAAATTTTTGGAAGTCCTAAAGGAAACAAAAGATAAACTAGAAAGGTAACATTTGCAAGCAAATGCAATATGTTTACCTCAGGATGGTCTCGCCTACCATTTATAACTTTATTGGGGAAGAAGGATGGGAGAATATTTTGCTTATGTTGCTTACTTTTAGAGTACACTATAGAGTAACATTAACTGGGGGATTTGAACTTGTTTTTCTGTTGCTGTAAGGCCAAGGATTTAGTTTAAAATGATCACTCAGCACACACTTTCATCATGTTTGCAATTAAGAGGAAAGATGCATGTATAAGTCATGTACACATTGAATGTTTCAATCTTGACAGCTTTAATTAAACAATTTTTAAATATTCCACTTGTCTTACAATCTTGTTAACTTTAGAAATACAAGCAAACACAACAAATACAAAATACAACAAATACAAGCACTGTTGAATATGTACAGCTTTTTACTTAGACATGGCACTTAACATTTGTCTCACTATCTTATTGCAGGTATGTAAATGATAATTATGATAAGAGTTATTTTACATTTTAAGTTCTAATTGAAAAAAAAATTGAAACTATACATGGCTTATGTATAGTACTACAAACCTAAACATGTGAGCGGGGCCTGATGTTGTGTTGGAACCCCGGGTTCTTTTAGGGATGTTGCCTACGAAGAAGTAACGAACGAACGGATTTTTAAACTTTTTTCTATCTACGATACTAATTACTACAATATATAAATGAGAGAAAAAAACTGTATGATAATAATGATGGGTCCTTACAACTGGACATCTGTATAAACCGGACATCTGTACAGACTACAGAGTTCACATAGCAATAGAGTTCGCAGTTTGCTAGACTTTTACAACTTTCAGAGTTCGTCAGAGTTCAGGTCCGTGGAAACGTCGCTTCACGTCGACGCTCTCCGGTGTCACTTGATCGTCGCAGCTCTCGTCTCATCTCTAGAACTCGTCTCTCGTCCCTCAGCCTCGTCCCTCAGCTCGCGTCAAGGCTGCTTACCAGGCGGTTCCAAGCTGTGTTCCTCCCCTCCTCCGTGTTGCTGCAAGGGGCACGAACGTTCGCCCGCAGTCGCCCCTCAGTTGCGGTAGCCCTCACCGGTCCTTGGTCGAAGGGTGTCCGGCGAAGATGGCGTCGCTTCAGGGGTCCCCATTAGGGAGATGACTCGGACGAGCCGTTCTTCCGGGATCGGATGGCGCGGCGGTAAGTTACCTCTCCATCGCCAAACTTCGATGTCCCACGTGGACCTGTGCAGGAGTTGGGGAAGAGAACACACAAACACACACACCAAGCCTGACCGCCATAACTTATGACTAACTATAACTTCAACGTACGGGAGAACAAACTCCCACAGAACTCTGACTCAACACCATATTCTCCAACAAGCGACATTAATTCCGCCGACCCAGAGGGTCACGAACTCAACTGACCAGAACTCCTTGCCTCGACCCTACGAGCACAAGGTCTTAAATGCTGAGTTAACTAAAGATACGCTAAATATATATATATATGTGTATACTGATGTGATCATGTCAAATTTGGGAAAGTGCAACCACCTTATCTAGCTAAAAGTGAGATGAGTTCCCGTCAGGCCGAGGCCCAACCCCCGAGGTCTGGGTTTCCAAGGAAAACACAACACTTAGGATACTGTAACTGCCCCCTGGCTAACTACTAACCCCAAGATGGCTGCACATTTCAATAGCCGAAAATACATTATTTATTGATCCTTCCCTATTGAAGTTGAAAGACTCTTGAAAAAACCACTAGCACGTTGCGGCACCGACTTCAGCCATGCCTTGGTTTTTCCACATTCGCTTGTCTGAATGTAACATACCTATCTAATATTTACTGGAAAAAAAAATTAAAAATTGTACAAGTGTTTCTAGAAATGGTTGCAATCTCTGTATCCTTCTGTGGAATGGCTTGGTCCAGGTCAGTCCGGTTCCTCCCCAGTCAGTTTCTCGGTTCACCAACTTCTGCTTTCTGTTCTAAGAAACATCCGACCTGGAGGATAGGAACAGCAGTAAGTGCATTTAAAAGCTGATAAGAGAAATAATCTATTATAGATTGATTAGTCCTTAAACTGGTAAAAAACACAATCTAAGTTTTGTCCACACTCAGCTCTTAGAAGAGCAACTTGCATGTGACACCACCTTTGGTCTACTATGTATTTGTACTCATTGGCAAGCTTTAACCAACAATATTCTAATTCATTTTTAACACAAGCTCACCTGCTGTATTTTCAGAGCGTGATCTTCTAACTGATTGACCTAAAAAAGAAAAGGATTAAGTAGTGACATACGGTAATCATGCAGTAATGAACACCTCTAAACATGGGATTACATCTTAAGTCCTTTTGAAGTTAAAATATGACAATAAATAATAAGAGGGAAATTGTAACAAATTAGCATTACAAAATAGAGGCTATGTATATATTAAGTAATGAGGAAAAACATCGGGGATATTTGCCCACTCCATTGGGTTCTTCAAAGGAATAGTCTGAAAAAAAAAGAAAAAAAGGTTAGATAAAAAAACCTATCCTATGGAGTGAGATACAATCATGAAAAGAGATTAACAGTGATTGATTTCACTTTTTTTAATTTTTTTAGATAGATATTTAATCATAAAAGAGATTAACAATGTTTCACCTTAATTTTTTTTTTTACTGATTTTTTTCATTCTTGATATCTACCCCATTCACCGGGGTCTTTACCCCATTCACCAGGGGTTACTTTTTCCACCCTCGTCCCAATCACTGGACAAGCTTGTGGTTTTCCACCCTCGTCCCCAATCACCGGGACAGCTTGTGGTTTTCCACCCATGTCCCAATCACTGGACAAGCTTGTGGTTTTCCACCCATGTCCTAATCACTGG